TTTTTTTTAATCAGTTATCTGTCCTTTCATGTCCTTTTCCATACCAATTCCTTTAGCATATCAATACCTCCTTCTCCAGAAATCTTTCAGGAGACTTGTCTTTTTTCACCATATCTGTTTCCATCTTCTATGTCTTTAAAGATGTCATTTTAAAATTGTTTTTTGTCTGTTTTAACAGCTCTCTGAGATTCTTTGTTAAGTTCCTTCTTGAGATCTTTCTCCTTTTTTGCCTTCAGCTTCTTTTCTCTTCTTGGCAATTTCCACCATTTATTCTGACATCCAGTTTGCTTTCTTCTGTTTTCACATCCATCTTTAACAACTTCTTTTGATTTCACTTCTTCTGGTTCCTTATCAATCAAGTTTGTGACTTAATTCTTGATGTTCTCCTTGAAAATGGTGGGTATATGCTGACTGGCTTTGTTCTTCTGCTTTAGTTTGACTTGGAATTTATACATGATCAGTTCATGATCTGCTCCACAGTCAGCTCCTGGCCACATCTTTGCTGCTGTAGCTGAACTCTTCCACCCCCTTGTACCAAAAATATAGTCAATTTGATTTCTGTGTATTTCGTCTGATGATGTTCATGTACACAAGCATCATTTTGGTTGTTTGAAGAACATATTAAGAATGAAGAAATCATTGGATTGACAGAAACTGATAAGTCATTCTCTATGATAAATTTTGTACGCTTGTTTAAATAATAACAATTAAAAGGACAGTTAAAAAAAACTGCAGCAAGAAATTTGAGGTGGCTACACACCAAATGCATTTGAAAGGAAGAATGGTAAGTGAAAAGCCTCAAATAACTTGCTTGTCATGGCAACAGTTTTTTACAAGTTCAAATGGGTCAATAGAAATAAGAAAAGAAGCTTTTTATGATAAATATATGATTTATGAGATTAAAAGGAGAGGCAAGGGTTCAGTCAGCATGACATCTTAGAAACTGAGACCCTAGATGCCTTTCTACAAGACAGAAATCCTTTCAACATCGTATTGATCTGAGAGCAAAAGCAAGAGACCTTTTCAGAATGAGTTGGATTGGGGAGCAATTTTGCTTGTAGCTTGTGTTTCACAAATATGACTGAAGCCATACAGCAACTCCATTTTTAAAAGGGAAAAAAAATGGCTTGTTTTGGCCAAAATAAAACAGACAGATATTCTGTTGGATAGCTGTTCAGTATTCTGATTAAATTAAGACAGGTGCAAAGATTATCTCTTAGAGCGTCATATGCCCTGTAGCAATATTTGGGTGGACACTTTTTTATTTACGCACACACACACACGCATATGGAGTGTTTTCGATATGGAAGGTGCAGTAGTCTACTGATAGAAGTTACACATTCCTTTATTAAGTTCTGTTAGTTAAATGATTGCATTTTGGAGTGGAGGGACTACTATTAAACTTCTTATTTCTGCTTCTGTGTCGTGCTACATTTTAGGTTTGTTGTATGTTTTTTCAACACATGGTGCCTGCAGACATATGTACAGTATTTTCACTGACCTTTTCCTTTATGGGTCATATTTTGGAAGATCCATAATTTCAAGGCTGCTTTTGAATGTAAATTTCTGTTTATAAAATGACTTGAACATTGACTCTTAATGCATATTGTTTCATATTGAGATTACAACCAGTAATCTTGAAATTAATAGGTGAATCATTTTTAGACACATTTTGCACGTGACTGATTATGTGCCATCAAGTCATTGTCAACTCTTAGCAACCACATAGATAGATTTTCTCCATGATGTAGGTCTATATGCCTATGTTGTGTGTGTGTGTATGTGTGTATAAATAATTTTACAGTGGGACATTTTAATCTCACTTTCAATGATAAACACAGTGGGTAAAATCCAAGGTTGCATGAACAAATGTTTGTTTATATGGTAGGGCTTTTTGTGTCTTTTTCTCATACTGCCCCATGTCATCTCCCATCTGCTCCAAAATTTTCCTCCCAACCAGAAAGCATAGTTAATAGGTGCACATGTGACTGTGGGCAGCAAAAGGGGAGGCAGGGCTGAATTGATCTGGCAGAAGCAGTCAGTGGAAAAGCTGCCTTAGATTTTATTTTAGATGGCCCATAAATAATAGTTCAGAACAGAATTTATTCTCTAGTTTGTGGCTTAATAATCTGCATGATTTCATAAAATAATTTTGGGAAGTCCTTAACCTAGAGCTGGTATACTGAGAACAAGTTTTTTCCCCCTTGTCTTTTAAAATGTATAAAGTTTGAGGCATTAGGCTTTAAAGCTTTTTATTCAGTTTAAACTCACCTGACATACATTTGTACAGATGGCATTTTATTTTTTGCCTGAAAAATGACACTTGCTAATTTAGTTCAGGATTAAATTTAATAATACAATAATAGGTATTTGTTGCTGGTTTCTCTTATATGCTTGCTTAGAATCAAACTGGATCTATTAGGAATAGGTGCTTTAAGCACAAGATGGAATCAAATTGTTCAGTTAAATGTTTCAGTCCTACATTATTCAATAATGACTTTAAATCTTTGGTTGTCATGGCTGCTCTGGAAAATCTTCTTGAGAGGGAAATGGAGAATCAGATGGGGAGAATATTGATCTTGTGGAAAGAACGTGTACTGTATAAGCCTAGAATAAGACACAGAGCTGAGTTCCTTTTCTTGAAGAGGACCTGCAACTCAAGCACATGAGAATGGGGACTGTGCCAAGGGGTAGAATAGTACATTGAACCAACCGACTAACCAAACATACATTTTGCTTATAATGCACCCTCCATCCGGGCACCCATAATCCAAATTAACAAAATTAATCAGTTAAAATTACCTGAATTTTACAATAAATCAGTGCATACCATGATACCTTTACAGTCACAGTAAAATAACACTTATACTACTGTAAGACCCTAAACCTATAAACCCGATATCCCTGCCATCTGACTTTGCCAATAAGATATATGGCAAACGAGCCCTACCATCCATCTAACTGAGCACCATTCACAGCCTCTTCCACCAGGTTACTTTGTTAAAAAGTATATTTTCAGATGTTTCTTTAATGCATCCAAGGAGGTATGGAGCTGAAGTAAGCTGCACCACGTAATGGGGCCAAGAAAAAAAAACCCTAAAATTTATTAAGCTTATTGCTTGTTCAAGGGTCGCTAAGCATCCAAAATGCCTTACAGAAATATAATGCGTGGATAAATCCTTATTATTTAAATCGTATAATGTAAGCCATACTGATAGAGCCATTTTACATAAATTAGCTGTGCAGATATCAGCAACATTTGCTTCTGAGTCTCATTTTTATACAAGTAATATATTTTTAAAATGGAAGTCAATATTTTGACTACTTCCATGTGTTGCCACGATGATCTTGCTCTACCTTGCAAATTGTTCATATTTTCTCAAAGACTTAGAAATAGTTAACCAAATGAGTATATTGATGTTATCAGTAAATATAGAATTTTTATATAGGGCCTAATATAGGAATATGTAAAAGAAATATAATAATAAAACTAAATCTATATCATAGTAATGTTTTATTTTAAAACTCCTAGCCCCAGTATTTAATTATCTCACCTTTTTTCTGATTTATACGCTTTTTAAAAAGCAGTGGTGCTCGTAGAATTTTATTTTAGAAGACAAAAGTGCATTTATATTTAGCAGGAGGTTAGTTCTCTTTGGCATGGTACTGATGTAATACTCAGAGTGACTGTTCATAAGGTTAGGTTTCATGATGAAGGAAGCTAATTTAAAGTAGAGAAACTCTTTAACTTGTGCATTTTTCTATGCCTGCTTTGAAGCTGTTTGCTTGATAAGTTGATGCTTCGCTAACACTTCATTTTTATACTGGAAAAACTTCATGATGTGCTTCCAATTCAATAGGAATCAGGAAAAAATGTAACACCATTGTCGTAAAGTATCACCAATAAAATCTGGCTGTGTGACAGTGACAACAAAAGCAACTAAATCTCTCCATTGGCCTTTGCCTGAATGATAGGAGCAAGGGGGACTCGTCATGTTTGCTCCGGCACTTGGTTGTCACTTTCTGTCTTCCCAATCTGTGTTAGTCTGTTCCAGCTCTGGACTTGTGTAAGTTCCCTACATAGTAACAGGGGCTCTGCCTTCTGCTGGCCTTCTTCCTCAGGGCCAAGCTGGAGCTCTTTCAGGTTGTATAGCAGAAGCAACTTCTGATAGTGTTCTGGTGTTATGTGTACACTTATGCAGACAAAATAGGAGCTGGTTGTGCAGGGAAAGTGGGAATGTGTTTCCCCCAAGTTTGCCGCCACCTGCGAATGTGCTTGCATTTCATCGTTTTAAGCACTTCTGCTCTAAATTATTTGGGAAAAGATTTAATTATTTTGTTTTATCGTATTTCCCTCCTTGCATTAACTGTATTTATTGGCATGTATCTTTAACCAAAGAGTTATATTAACTTGCCAGTTAAATTAACCATAATTGTCATTTAAAAGACATAAAATGTTAAGTTAGTTTTGCTCTTATCAACAAAATTGATTTTTTTGGTACATCTTTGTGCCAGAGAAATTTTGGATTGATGGGTGCCTCTGGTGTGACTTAGTGGTCAACATAATGCTTCAAAGGGGACCTTGTGGATTCTGTTTATTGCTGTTAATGTTTGACTCTTATCTTAGTACTATATCCATAAATGGAAATCAGAGTGACTTAATTGTAAAGCATATTGTGAAGATATAATAAGACTATTGACAGTAGTCCATAAGAATTTATGTGATTTGCTAATCTTTAAGGTGCCACAAACCCTGAAAATGGAAGTTTTTTTGTTAGCTCAAATACTGCTTTTATACAGTATATGCCATTTTCTCCTCCCTAATCTCTCTAGAAAAGGAAATCTGTCCGTATATATCTGTCTGTCTTCATAAAGTACATCGTTGCCTTTTCATGAATAGAGACATTGGCCTGCTTAAATTCTTTCTCAAGGTACAATAAACATGCATTCTGTAAAGTATTATTTTTAACTTTCGTAAAAAAAAAAAAAATCTGCTTTGATTTCTGTTCCAGGCTTTTGGTCAGGCGCATACCAACCACAAGAAAGTAGCAGCAGATGGGGAGAGCAGAGAGGAGACTTTGATTCAGGAATCTGCCACAAAAGAAGAATATTACATGAAAAAGGTTATGGAACTGCAGACAGAACTCAAGCAGCTGAGGAATGTCCTTGCCAATACCCAGTCTGAAAATGAACGCCTAAATTCGGTTGCCCAGGAACTGAGAGAGGTGAGGATTTTTAAACAGTGACGCTTGAATGAAAAACCTTTGAAACTGAACAGTTGTGTTCCCTTGGAAGAGGTATTTATGTGGTAGGCTGTTCTGAAATTAGAGCTATTTGGAATTATTCAGTAACATTCATTGTTTGTTACTTTTATGATTTGGCTTTCTGCCCTGTAGCAGCTTTGAAGATAGCTGATACACGAATATAAGCCTAACACTGTTAATAGGTATCCTTTCTGGCCCTAAAGGCCCATCAGTACAACAAACTTTTTTATTGCTTTTCTATGGAAAAAAGAAGGGGTCTAATGGGGGTGGGGAGACATAGGATTTAAAGGGTTGGTGGGTCAAGTGAAGGGGTTGAAGGGCAAATGTGCATCTGCCCATCCTATACATATGGGAATGAGATTTTACATCTGTATGTTTTCTGTATGTTATGAATGGTGTTAAATGGCAAGTGGGTTTTTAATTATACAGGTTGTCCTCGTTTAGCAACCACAATTGGGACCGGCAACTCGGTAGTTAAGCGAAGCAGTCACTAAGTGAAACTGCATCTATGCTTACGACCTTACTTCAGCTTTTCCTTGCCCTACAGACCTGCGAAGGTTGTAAATACAAGGATTGGTTACAAAGTTACTTTTTTATCACCGTCATGACTGCAGACTGTTGCTAAACAAGGCAGTAGATAAACAAGGGCTACCTGGGTTCAGAAGTATTAGTGTATGGACAGATTTTATTCAGTGCATCCAAAGTCTGCTAAACCAAAGACCATTAAATACAGGTAGTCCTCGACCTGTGATTGCACTGAAGCAATCTGGATGCTTGGATGCTTGGATCTGGGTGCCCCATGATCATGTGATCATCATTTGCAACCTTCCCTGCTGAAAGTCAGTGGGGAAGCCAGCAGGGAAGGTTGCAAGTTACTGGAGTAAGTCTACTCCACCCACGCACCTTCCCCCAGCCCTTCTGCACTCGTGGCGCACCAGCCACTTATGCATCCCTGTGCACCCTCCCTGACCCTCGCCATGCCTCTCATGCACCCTCCCCACGCCACGCCTCTTGCACACCCTCATGCACCCTCTCCAACCCATGTGGCGCCTCTCATGCACCCCCTCACACCCTCCCTGACCCTCCCTTGTGCAGCCTCCCCAACCCTCTCCCATGCACCCCCTCGCTCCCTCCCCCACCCAGCAACAGCTACTTATCTGCCTGTGCCTTGCAATTTCCTGCTGGCTTCCTCAATGACTTTGGTAATGGGAAGCCGGCAGGAGATTGCCTTGCCTAATGACCGTAGGATTCAGTTAATGACAGCAACTGGGACTGTAAGGATTGCTGTTGCTAAGCGATGCATTCACACTTTATGACTCACGTTGCTTAGCGAGAGAAATTCTGGTCTCCGTTGCCATTGTAAGTCGAGGACTACCTGTAGAGGGTTTACAATATTGCCAATCCCTGCAAAGCTCTAAACATAAAGTTGTAATCTGTTTAAAAAGAACATCACAGCTAAATAGCCAGTAATAGGGCTTATTTATACCAGTCATATAAAAGAAGCAGAAAAAAATAAGTAAATTTATTTACTGTATTTATTATTAGATTTATTAACTTCCCAATGGAAAAGACTCTGAGTGATGCATAAAATACAAAACATAATAACAAACTATATAAATAATAATAATAATAATAATAAATAGTAGCAATAGTGATGATGATGATGATGATGATGATGATGATGATGATGATGATATAGAGTTCTTGTGCCAATGGCTGTATACAACTAATCTCTGAAGGCCTTAAAAAAAGTTAGATTCAGTATTCTTTGAAAGACCATAAGAATTGGGGCCACCTTTGCCTCAAAGGGCAAGCTGTTCCAAAGGAGAGAAGACCCCTTTCTGTTACATCTCAAAATAGGGGACCTTCAACAGGCGCTCCTTGGCCATCTGGTTCGGATAAGCAGGCTGTTTGAGACAATGCTACAACACAGAATGGAAAAAAAGACTAAAAAATGCAGGAAGTGTTTTAATAGAAAAAAAATCAATGTTATATCTGGGAATGAAGCCAAAAAGAATAGAAATGGTGTTTTTGGGGTATTCATACATTCATTAAACATATTAAGCATATTTCTATGCTGCCACAATAAAAAAAAAATCTTGATGGCTTACATAGAATAAAATACAAAGGGTTAGGGCTGGATTTGACCTCCAAAAGATGATTCAGAGCACACAAAACATAAACATAGCGATCATGGGAAGAGATATGACTGAAGGTGTTGCATAGAAATGCTGCGTTTGTGATTTTGCATGCTCCATTTTTTGGTGATCGGATCCAGAGCACTATACATCTTCTTAAATCAAACTAACTCAAGTTTATATGACTAAAATACATAGTGTTGTAATATCTAAACCTGCTGTATGCAGGTAGTTGTGCAATGTAAATTCTATTAACTTTTGCTTTTAAACTCTTTAAATAAAGATTTCAGAACATTAATTCTCTACCCATAATGCAGATTAACTATGAAAACAGGAATAGCTGAAGGATTTTTTAAAATAAATACAGCAGTGAGTTGAAGTTTCAAAGATACATCAAGTGTAGAAGGCAGCTATTTTAGTGTATAGAATGGGCCAGAATATTTTTTATACAGTATTTGTCAAGAGCTTGGATGCAACAGTAATTTAGTGCCTATCCCTGCCACTGGTTGTTATTAGTGCAGACTGTTATGTTTTGTTTCACATTTTTTAAAATGTTTGAATTGTATATTTGGATACTGTAAGCCACTCAGGGCCTTTTGGAGTGGGCAGCCATAATAAATTTAATGAAATAAACAAACAAATAAATAATGAATGACAGTAGTTGTCTCATGCAGTATGGTTACTTTTGAGGTACTTGGAAGTTTTTCATAGACCAAAGAGAAAAAAATATTGTGGTAAGCAATGATTATAAAAGTATGTACAGAGTTTGAAACATTTGGAAAGATTGCATGCAAGCAAATTAGAATGGTGTAAAATAAAAATATGCATGTCAAAGATATTCAGTCCAGACCAAATGGTGGCCTAATTGCCCATCACAAAAATAGCTACGTTTGCCTTCAATATTCCCTGTTGGATGCAGTCGAATCTCAAATGCTGGACCAGAGTCGCTGGCGTATACTTTCAACTGATGATGATGATGATGATGATGATGATGAATAGTAAGATCTCTCTTGGGTATTTTATTCTCATTGCCAACAAAGTGACAGTCTTGATACATTTTATATCAAGTGACCACAGCGAGTTTCTTTCATTTCATCAAGGGCAGTATCATAGAAACTGAGCAAGAATCCTTAAATCTTATTATGGTGAGACCTTCTGTATCTCACAGGCAAATTGAAATCAACATTTTTCAATACAAATTGCTGGAAGTAATTAGACAGGATCTTAGTTCTTTGGCCCCTCCAAAGATAGGACTGTAGTGCAGTTAAAACTAGAACCACATGCTAATTTCTAGCTGTCAGCTGCAGTCAGTAACCAAAGAACAAAGAAAACAAACCATGGATTATTCCACTCCCACAGTCTGTTTGATTTTTCACATTTTTCACTTTTTTGAATGTGCAATCAACATAAAGTGCTTAGCACAATATACAAACTCAGGCGATTGATGTCAGTTGGGTTTGTTTGCTTGTGAAAATTTCTTTTAATGTTATTTTGGATATAAATAAATATTGCTGCCGCCACCCCAAATAATTCATTTAGAGATTTATTTATTTGATTATATCCTGTCTTCCCTTGGGGAGCTCAAAATATCCTTCATTTTATGCCCATAACATCTCTGGTGCAAGTTAAGCTGGGAGAAAGTGACTGTCCCAAGTCACCCAGTGTTAGCCCTGCGAGGTAGTCCGGACAAGAAGCATAACTAGGAGTACTAGTTCTATCTTTATTTTAAGGTTACAGTAACAGAAACTTGCAAGACTGAAAATATTTCTTTCCTCCTTTCCTTTTACTGTCCAGAAAATTAGGGAGGGTCCTTTCTGAAACGTTTCCTATGCCCTCCTGCCTTCTGTGGGCTGAGATATCTTTTACATGCTGGCTGTCCAATCTGTGGCTCTCCCTCCTGTCTCCTGAGGTCATTCCCACATACCATTACACCCAGTGACTTTTCATAGCTGGGGTTAGTCTTGAATCTGGGCTTCCCCAGTCCTTGTCTAGCACCTTAATCAGTATATCACACTGGTGTATGTTTATATAATATTGAGCCTTATCAGTATCTCAGAACAGGAGGGAATAACATTAATAGCATTAGATGAACAGATAGTATCGAGTATTAGTTATTTTTTATATGTCATCTGTTGGGACCCCAGAAGCGCGTCTTCTCTGTAGCAGCACCTGCCCAATGGAATGAGGTTGCCCCCAAGATGCAGATGGCCCCGACTGCTGCTGTTTAGAAGAGCTGTGAAGGCCTGCCTCTTCACCCAGGCCCCTCACTTCATCACGCCTGCCATCTTTTACCTTTATTTTTTTATGTTTTATTGATTTGATTGTAACTTCTTTGCCACCCAGAGTCATTGAGGGTCAGGAGACATACAAGTTTAATAAATTATTGTTATTGATATTGAAATTATTTCTGTTTAGAGATCCATTAGTAAAGCTCCTGCTGAGTGCTTAATCACATTAGGGTTGTCACAAGGGCAGTCTTTCGTTCTTTTATTGTATCTTCTAGCTACCCCCTTTTCCTTTCCTTTTCCCTCTGTTCTGTGGTCAACTGTCCTCTTTTCTCTTATTCATCCCCCGCCCCCAAAATATTCTCTTAGCTTTTTGTTTGCCTTCCTTTATAAGGAAGTGGCCATTTAACACTTCATTTTATTTTGAAAAATGTCAGTAATCTACCAGTTCACCACACAGTACATAATGAATATAAGTGTTAAAAGGAAAGGCATGCTTTCAAACGTATGAAGAACAGGATGCAGGAATTTGTTAACAGCTGCAGCTTCTCACTTGGTGTTTGCTGCACAGAAGTCTTTACATGGGATTGTGCATGAC